GTATTTTTAGTAGAGACGGGGTTTCACCATGTTGACCAGGATGGTCTCGATCTCTTGACCTCGTGATCCACCCGCCTCGGCCTCCCAAAGTGCTGGGATTACAGGCTTGAGCCACCGCGCCCGGCCTCAAATAAAAAACTCTTAGACCAGTAACTAGATCAAAGATGGGGATCAAAACTGAGAACCTGGGCTGGGCACAGTGACTCACGCCTGTAATTCCGGCACTTTAGGAGGCTTAGGCAGGTGGATCACTTCAGGCCAGGAGTTTGAGACTAGCCTGGCTAACATGGTGAAACCTCATCTCTACTAAAAATACAAAAATTAGCCAAGCATGGTAGTGCATGCCTGTAATCCTAGCTACTCAAGAGGCTGAGGCACAAGAATCGCTTGAATTTGGGAGGCGAAGGTTGCAGTGAGCCAAGATCAGGTCACTGCACTCCAGCCTGGGAGACAGAGCAAGACTCTCTCTCAAAAAATAATAACAAAAAAAAAAAAACCTGACAACAAGACTGTACAAGAGACAAACCCCCTTTTTAAAGATATTCGTTAGAAGACATGCTTGTCCAGGCCTAGAAACCTGTTACCTCTTTCGTGAAGCTGGACTCACCAAGGTGGCTTTAATGAAAAGCCATTAACCACTCAAATGATTAGTGTCTGCTAAAAGAATACATAAGCCTGAGGATAAGGGTATTCATCTTAATAACAATTATATTTCCTTACTGAATATTTGGTATTCTGGCTTTACATGCCAATCTGCTATGAATTTAGTTAGCATGAATCAGGCCTTAACTTTAGGGTGCTGACAAGATCAAATCTCTTCTCCAGGAAGACTGAGGGATCACTAAGGGAGGGCCAAACTGATGCATTTCATCTGGCCTTACCTAGATGACTCCCTCAAGTGCTTCTTTCTTTCCAACCTGTAACACCTCCAGTTGTTTGTTTTAGACAGGGGATTGTTCTCTCACCCAGGCTGGAGTGCAGTGGTATGAATCTCAGCTCACTGCAACCTCTGCACTTCCCTGGCTCTAGTGATTCTCCCACCTCAGCCTCCCAAGTAGTTGGAACTAGAGGCACATACCACCATCCTCAGCTATTATTATTATTATTTTTTTTTGGAGGTGAGCCAGTTTTACAACCCCCAGGTCTAACACAGATCTCAGTATCTACTATACACTAAGGGTTGCTGTTTCACCATCTCTGCACCATAGAACCAACTGGCTGTGTAATTTTAGTAGCTCAAGGTTAATTTCTTTTTCTTTTCTTTCTTTTTTTTTTTTTTGAGACAGAATCTCGCTCTGTTTCCCAGGCTGGAGTGCAGTGGCACAATCCCGCATGCCATCATGCCTGGCTAATTTGTTTGTTTGAACCAGGAGGAGGAAAAGGACAAAGCAGTGAATTACACTGCTAGGGCTCATAGATTACTTCCACTAGCATTCCTTTTAGTAGAGACAGGGTTTCACTATGTTGGCCAGGCTGGTCTGGAGCTCCTGACCTTGTGATCTGCCCGCCTCGGCCTCCCAAAGTGCTGGGATTACAGGTGTGAGCCACCATGCCTGGCCTTTTTTTTCAGTTCAATCATATTTTTACTAATAATTTGAAATTACATTTCCTCAAGTATGTTTTCTTTTTTTTTTAACCTCCCACATATTTCCCTGACTGAGAAACACTTTCCCTTGGAAGCTGTAACTGCAAAGAGACAACTCTAAACTATTAAAACGTGAAGAGCAACTGAAGAAGTGTAGTCTTTGCTTACTTTTTACTTTGCTTCAAGCCAAATGAGTTGACCAATAACTCAACAACTCTCATTAAGTCTCCAAAAGCTCTACTAAGAGTCTCAGGAACCAGGAGGAGGAAAAGAGCAAAGCAGTGAATTCCCCTGCTAGGGTTCACGCATCACTTCCACTAGCATTCCTTTATGACTATGCCCTCTTCCTTCAGGGCCAAGACTCAAAGTTAAATTGACAAAACAAATATATTACTCACTCAAACACTGTATTATGTTTGAGTTGTAAGGCAAAACTCATGTTAATATGTAACACTTCATGCTTTTTTAAGCTACTGAGAAAAGAACTTTCATCTAAGGAATGCAAGTCTTTATTATCAGGCCTAGAGAAACATTAAAATGATACAGCAATTACTTTTTACACCCCCTCCCACCCTTTTGAGCTCTGTCTTCCTCTCTTGAAACTGCTTGCTATTGCCACAAGTAGCTACAAATTAACCTAATAATGCATAGCTCAACAATGGATATAGACAATCAAGAACCAATGTTGTTTCTGTAAACCAAGAACAATTCCTGACAAACAACTTTGTATCAGCACACTTCCTGTCCCTCCCTTCAGTCTTTAAAACTCCACTTATGCAGGGCGGGCGCGGTGGCTCAAGCCTGTAATCCCAGCACTGTGGGAGGCCGAGGCGGGTGGATCACGAGGTCAAGAGATCAAGACCATCCTGGTCAATATGGAGAAACCCCATCTCTACTAAAAATACAAAAAATTAGCTGGGCATGGTGGCGCGTGCCTGTAATCCCAGCGACTCAGGAGGCTGGGGCAGGAGAATTGCCTGAACCCAGGAGGCGGAGGTTGCGGTGAGCCGAGATCGCGCCATTGCACTCCAGCCTGGGTAACAAGAGTGAAACTCCGTCTCGGGAAAAAAAGAAAAAAAAAAACTCCACTTATAACTGCTGCTAACCTGTGTCTGTAGTCAGGGCAACACCAATCTATATTCTGGGGTTGCAATCCTCAAGCCTGGCCCAAATAAACTCGCTACTTATATTAACTTTGACTCAGCATCTTCCTTTTAGGTAAACATTAGATATATTTAAAGGTAATCCCAGAGAGAAGAGTATTAATAAACAGTTTTGATAGCAATCTTTATTTATTGGCCACCTTATCTGTAAAACATCCTAATGAACATTTATCATAATAGTGTAATAAAGTGGCTGAGGCCTGTAATCCCAGTACTTTGGGAGGCTGAGGCGGGTGGATCAGGAGGCCAGGAGTTGGAGACCAGCCTGGCCAACATGGTTAAACCTCGTCTCTACTAAAAATACAAAAATTAGCTGGGTGTAGTGGTGGGTGCCTGTAATCCCAGCTACTCGGGAGGCGGAGGCAGAAGAATCACTTGAACCAGAAGGCAGAGATTACACTGAACCTAGATGGCGCCATTGTACTCCAGCCTGGGTGACACAGTGAGACTCTGTCTCAAAAAAAAAAAAAAAAAAAAAAGTGTGATAAAAGCTTAAAAAGATATTGAACACCACTGAAATCTCCACCAATGAATATTCTATAGAACTGCCCTTGATCCTTTATTAGATAGGGAAAACCTGTACTTTAAAAATCCAATATCTTTCCCTAAATCTATTCAGTTCCTTAAATCAGATGGAGAAAATCTAGGTGGCAAGAGAAACTTGTATCACAAACTGGTAAAAATCCCTATCCTTATTATACCCACAACTAAAAGCTGACGCCTGCTATAGCTTGTGTCTAGAGAGCTATAGAGAACACACGCTGTCTGGTTTTCCAGCCATCTGAAACAGCCTGCCATTTTAATCTAACTTAAAAACTGCTTTCATCATATCACTCCTATTCATAATTCTTCAAAAATTCCCCACTGCCTACAGAATAAAATCCAAACTCTTTAACCTACTATTTAGTCTTTTACAATCTAACATACTAGGAAAAGCACCAGGCAATAAAGATGACACAAGTACCACAAATCAGCCGTAGAATTATGGGCCACTTCATAGAACCTGACAGTTGGAAAGAAGCTATTAATCTTAAGAGAACACAACACCACCTATCATGCCTGACCCAGGGTTGCTCTGAGGTCTAAATAAGAAAAAATGTGAAGGCACACTGAAAACTATCAACCACTCTACAAATACAGGATGTTACTCTTACTATGCTATACTCAGACAAATCAATAGTTATTGAACTTCTTAGGATACAAAGAAAAGAATCTATCAGGCTTGTGAAGGGATAAAGAAAATTCTCTCCCCTCTGCAACTTCTGAAGGTTTGATCATTTCAACCTATAAAACAAACTGATAATAGATCAACAGCAAAAACCATACAAATGTATTACATGCAAACACATACACAAGGAGTCATAGGAATAAGAAAACTCAAATAAAGGGCCAGATAGCTTAAGTTTTAATACTGTCCCGAGATTACAGAAAGAATAGGAGTTTAGATCATGGCAAAACGGGTTATGGGAAGGAACGATGGAAAGGGCTGGCTAAGGAAGGTGGTCTTGTTATGCAAATGAGACCCCACAGGTAGCAGCCCTGAGAAAAAATAGTTGCTAGCCTGTGGTATGGTAAACTTCTCTATCAGACCTTCAAAGGTGTGAGACTCTCAATCTCTCTGTCCCATGAGTTAATCTTTCCTAGGTCTGAACCTGCGGGATGGGGTGGGAAGGAGGTGTACTCAGAGAAAGCCTGGCTGTTTATTTCACTAACGTAGATTTTCCCTAAAGATGCAAATCTCCACAAAAGGCAGCTTTTCAGAGCTATTCTTTTTTTTTTTTTTTTGAGACGGAGTTTCGCTCTTGTTACCCAGACTGGAGTGCAATGGCACGATCTCGGCTCACCGCAACCTCCGCCTCCTGGGTTCAGGCAATTCTCCTGCCTCAGCCTCCTGCGTAGCTGGGACTACAGGCACGCGCCACCATGCCCAGCTAATTTTTTTTTTTTTTTTTTTTTTTTTTTTTTTTTTTTTGAGACGGAGTTTCGCTCTTGTTACCCAGGCTGGAGTGCAATGGCGCGATCTCGGCTCACCGCAACCTCCGCCTCCTGGGTTCAGGCAATTCTCCTGCCTCAGCCTCCTGAGTAGCTGGGATTACAGGCACGAGCCACCATGCCCAGCTAATTTTTTGTAGTTTTAGTAGAGACGGGGTTTCACCATGTTGACCAGGATGGTCTCGATTTCTTGACCTTGTGATCCACCCGCCTCGGCCTCCCAAAGTGCTGGGATTACAGGCTTGAGCCACCGCGCCCGGCCTATTCTTTATTTTATGTATTTATTCAGAGATGAGTCTCACTTTGTCGCCCAGGCTGGGGATCAGTGGCATGATTTCCACTCACTGCAACCTCTGCCGCCCAGGTTCAAGCGATTCTCCTGCCTCACCCTCCCAAGCAACTGAGATTACAGGTGCTCACCACCATGCCCAGCTAATTTTTTTATTTTTAGTAGAGACAGGGTTTCACCATGTTGGCCAGGCTGGTCTTGAACTCCTGACCTCAGGTGGTTCACCCGCCTCGGCCTCCCAAAGTGCTGGGATTACAGGCATGAGCCACTGTGCTCAGCCTCCCTTTTTTTTTTTTTAAGACACAGGGCAGCCAGGCACGGTGGCTCACATCTGTAATACCAGCACTATGAGAGGCTGAGGCGGGTGGATCACAAGGTCAGGAGTTTGAGACCAACCTGACCAACATAATGAAACCCCATCTCTACTAAAAATGCAAAAATTAGCAGGGTGCGGTGGCGCACACCTATAATCCCAGTTACTCAGGAGGGTGTGGCAGAAGAATGCTTGAACTGGGAGGCGGAGGTTGCAGTGAGCCAAGATAGCACCACTGCACTCCAGCCTGGGCAACAGAGCCAGCCTCTGTCGTCAAAAAAAAAAAAAAAAAAAAAAAGAGAGAGAGAGACAAGGCTTACTCTGCTGCCCAGGCTGCAGTGCAGTGGCCCAATCACCGCTCACCGTAGCCTGGAACTTCTGGGACTCAAGCTGGGACTATAGGTGTGAGCCACCACACCTGGCTAATTTTTAACTCTCCACTTTCTGATAACCGAATCCATTCCATCCAGATGGCTGGGGGAGAGAAGCGGGTAGAGCAAATGAGGGAAGGTGCCTTGTTTTACAGTGGTCCTGCTCCCTAGCCACACAACACTGTCTTTTTTTTTTTTTTTTTTTTTTAAAGACGGGTTTTCACCATGTTGGTCAGGCTGGTCTTGAACTCCCAATCTCAGGTGATCCGCCCGCCTTGGCCTCCAAAGTGCTTGGATTACAGGCGTGAGCCACCATGCCCGGCCCAACACTGTCTTAAATACGTTCACGAAAATCAAAGTTTTGGACAAGCAAATGACATTTAAAGGTCTCAGTGAAACTCACTACTTATATAAAAAAAAAAAAGGCTTACATTGCCTTGTGAAATGCAAAAGACTATAAAGATTATCAGTACTTAAGCCAGGTTTTGCAGAAATAGGGTTTACCTACAGCAACATTTTTATTCACATCTGCTAGAAAGCTTTCTGATTATCTTTCAAAAGGCCATTTCTTTCCAAATGCCAGGACAAGCACACCAATAACTACTTTCCACAGAGTGTGCTCAAACAGTAGACAAAGCATGCTGAGTACCCTCCTTTTTATCACACCAACACTGTCTGGTTGGATTGCAGCCAACAACAGGGCTCAAGCAGGATTTATCTTTCCTGTAGATCACGTAGTAATTTGCCTAATGCAGTGCCCTAGATTTGCAAATTAGATTCACTGATGTACTTGCAAATCGGCAGATTTCAACATTTTCAAGGAAGGCAGGCACTTGTATAAAACAGTCTGTCTTGATCATCAATGAAAACACCAACTATTTTGAGCCACCTACTATCCTTTTGCTGTAATTTTCAATTTCTGTAAAGAATTTCTTGGCTTTTAGCAAAGTCGAGGTTGAGCTAATACACTGATGTTACATCTGCATTTGCACTGCACAGGAGAACCCACAGACCCTAAATATCTGTTTGAAATATACTCAGACCAAAAATTTCTATTGTGTAGCCATGACAGGCACTGACTAAAGGAAACTTGAAACTATAAATAGCACAGTGAACACCATATGCCTGGGGTGAAATGTTTTGCCTAAAATGGTACAAGGAAGGGGTTCACAGTTCGACAAACAGTCCGTATATCAAAAAATGAGCAAAATACAAACCAAAAAACCACACACACACACCCCTAATTCATTATTAAAGACATACTAATTTTTCTCCACCGGGCACGGTAGCTCTTGCCTGTAATCCTAACACTTTGGGAGGCTGAGGCGTGCGAATCATTAGGTCAGGGGTTCGAGACAACCTGGTCAACATGGTGAACCCAGCCTCTACTGAAAATACAAAAACTTAGCTGGGCGTAGTGGCGGGCGCCTGTAATCCCAGCTACTCGGGAGGTTGAGGCAGGAGAATCGCTTGAACCCGGGAAGCGGAGGTTGCAGTGAGCTGAGATCACGCCACTACACTCCAGCTGGAGGCACAGAGTGAGACTCCGTCTCAAAAAACAATATAATAATTTTTCTCACTAAAAAAAGTTATATATACCATTTGTCTACCATTTTCAGGGCATTTCCTCGAGATGCAGTGGTATTCACTGCAAAGCAGCTCGGGTCTAACTCTCCACCATGATGGCGCAAAACCCAAAATACACTCCGACAAAGTGCTGCTGCACTCTAGGGGTGCCAACAACCAACGCAGGGCAGGTGCAGAGCAAGACTGCATCAGGTTTCCTCCCTACCTCTGAAAATCACTGCTCCTCATATAAAGAAAATGTTCAAAGTTCCAACCAGGAAAAAAATGCCGTATTTGCCTGATGAGTATGTCAAGAAAAGGTCCGAGGACCACCTGTCCATGGGCAGGAAAAATGTGGATGTAAAATGGCTTCCCCAGGCAGATGGAGTATCTATCACACGCACATCCCTTCCAGGAGTAAGGGCTTTAAAACATGGGCAGGGGACCCATTCACGAGAGGATGCCAAGAACCCCCAGCTACTTCAGCACCGGATCCGAACATGCGACAGGCGTGGAAGTGCAGGCCGCCGGAGGAGAGAAGCGGCCAGGGAGGCAAGGCACTGAGAACTCCGCAACCCTGACCACGGAGCTTCAAAATATGCCCCGTCACCTCCGCCGGGCCGTCCCGCAGCCGTCGAAACACAAAGCGCACGGGCTTTTAAGAAGAAAGGAAACACGTGCTCCGCAGATAAGCTCAGAGTTTCTTGGCCCCGGGTGCGCC